TAACGCGGAGATGCTGGGATGCGGAGATGCTGGGATGCGGAGATGCTGGGATGCTGAGATGCTGGGATGCGGAGATGCTGGGATGCTGAGATGCTGGGATGCGGAGATGCTGGGATGCGGAGATGCTGGACGCCTTGTTGTGGATTTTGCGTGTTTGGCATGATTTTGCATGTTTGCTTGGTGTTAGGGACCTTTTTGCGGGTGTGCCCCTTTTTTTAATCCTTGTGATGTGTATCCGCTCACCCCCCGCACCCGCGCGCCCGCCCGGGCAGCATGGCCTCACATGACGAGGCCTTTCGATCGTCGCCGTCGTCTTCGTCGTTTTTCATTTTTTCCGCCAGGATGAGACGTGGGGATCTTGGAGGCCTCCGCAGGCCTGGTTTCGCTCGCCTTTTTTCTTCGTTTTTTCCTCGTCTGTCAGGAGTGGGACGGATGCGGCTCCGCCGCCGGGGGGAAGGCGCTCGTTTTTTTCCCTTCGTTTTTTCTTTTTTCCCACTTCCTTTTTTTCCGTCCCGTCAGGGATGGGCCGGCGGTGCCGGATGTGGAGGTGGGCAGGCGCGTCCCCCCCTTCCCCTTCCCCTCCCCCTTTTTTCCGTCCTTTTTCCCCTTTTTTTCCATCGTGCCAGGTTCCGTCGTGGTGGTTGGGCGGCGAGGCGCTCGTTTTTTCTTCCTTTTTTCCATGTTTTTCCTCAACCTGCCAGGTACCTCCTTGGCCCGCGGCCGGAGGCGGAGGTGGACAGGCGCGTCCCCCTCCCCTCCTTTTTTCCTTCATTTTCTCCCTTTTTTCCATCCCGCTATGGTCGGGCGGCGAGGCGCTCGTTTTTTTCATTTTTTCCATGTTTTTCCTCAACCTGCCAGGTACCTCCTTGGCCCGCGGCCGGAGGCGGAGGCGGAGGTGGACAGGCGCGTCCCCCTCCCCTCCTTTTTTCCTTCATTTTCTCCCTTTTTTCCATCCCGCTATGGTCGGGCGGTGAGGCGCTCGTTTTTTTCCTTTTTTCCATGTTTTTCCTCAACCTGCCAGGTGCCTCCTTGGCCCGCGGCCGGAGGTGGGCAGGCGCGTCCCCCCTTCCCTTTCCCCCTCCCCCTCTTTTCCGTGCCCGCCAGGAGGGGGCGCGCTTCAAGAAGCAGGGCAGGCGCGTTCTTCGTCGTTCGCCTTTTTTTTCTCGGTTTTTGCGTCGCTCGCGGAGGATGCCACCATCGAAGCTGAAGCGGCACGCCGAGTTTAACGCGGCAAAGGCCTGTCTTTTTCCTCGCTTTTCCTTTTTTTCCGGGTCGCCTGTCAGGACGACGCCCGTTTGGCCTCGGCGTTCAAGGCGCGATTTCATCGTCGATCGTTTTTTCGTTGTTTTTCCCTGTCAGGACAGCCGCATCAAGGCCCTAGAGGCCCTCGTGAAGAGCCTCTCGGAGGAGAAGGCGCCGCTTTTTGAAGGGTTCGGCCAACCCCCTTTTGCGGGGTTCGCCCAACCCCTTTGCAGGAGCAGGTGGCGCGGGAGTCGGCGGCCAAGGCTCGTTCTCCTTTTTTCCCCTTTTTCCCTTTTTGGGGGTCTTTTTTCCCGTCAGGACGTGAAGCTCGCCGTGGCGGAGACCAAGTTCCTGGAGCAGCAGAAGTGGACCGAGGGGTTCAAGGCTCGTTTCTCGACCCTTTTTCCTACCTTTTTCCAGCCTTTTTCGCGCCCGTTCCGCCAGGCGGAGGCGATCTTCTTGCGGGAGGAGCTGGGCAAGGCTCATCCGTTTCGCGTTGAAATCGTTCGTCTTTGCTCTCGCGTCAGGTGGCGCCGGCGCCGAAGCGAGCGCTGAAGCGAGCACGAGGACCCCCCGTCTCGCTTCGTTTTTGTTTTTGTTTTTTTTCGACCTACCGCCCTCGCAGGAGCTCCATCGTGAGAGGCCGCATCGAGCTTTCGCACGGAAAACGGTCGGGGCCTGCCGCTTTTTTTTTTTTAGTGCCGAGCGGGCACTTAGGAGTACCGAGCGGGTACTGTAGGACAGTACCGAGCGGGTACTTTAGGACAGTGCCGAGCTGGCACTTTAGGACAGTGCCGAGCTGGCACTTTAGGACAGTGCCGAGCTGGCACTTTAGGACAGTGCCGAGCTGGCACTTTAGGATAGGGTAGGATAGTGCCGAGCTGGCACTTTAGGATAGGGTAGGGGTAGGATAGTGCCGAGCAGGCACAGTGCCGAGCAGGCACGGTGCCGAGCAGGCACGGGATTTTCAAGGGCTCGCCCCAACCGGGATTTTCAAGGGCTCGGCCAACTAGGTTTTCAAGGGCTCGCCCCAACCGGGGTTTTCAAGGGCTCGCCCAACGGGATTTTGCAGGGCTCGCCCAACTAGGTTTTCAAGGGCTCGCCCAACGGGATTTTGCAGGGCTCGCCCAACCGGGTTTTCAAGCCCAACCGGGTTTTCAAGGGTTCGCCCAACGGGATTTTGCAGGGCTCGCCCAACCGGGTTTTCAAGCCCAACCGGGTTTTCAAGGGTTCGCCCAACGGGATTTTGCAGGGCTCGCCCAACCGGGTTTTCAAGCCCAACCGGGTTTTCAAGGGTTCGCCCAACGGGATTTTGCAGGGCTCGCCCAACCGGGTTTTCAAGCCCAACCGGGTTTTCAAGGGTTCGCCCAACCTCGTTTGATACTGGGTCGCTTCGATCCCTGACATCCCGTGCTTTCAGGCTCCCCCGATGCTGTTCTTTATTTATATGTCTAAATGCCCATCTCGGCGCAGTCTGCTCGTGCCCCCGGCATTTTTTTATTTATATAAAAATCTAAATGCTTCCATCCCTGGCAGGCAGTCTGCCGTGCCCCCTGAGGCGGTTTTTTATTTATATAAAAATCTAAATGCTTCCATCCCTGGCAGCCTGCCCGTGCCCCCTTGAGGCGGTTTTTTATTTATATAAAAATCTAAATGCTTTCCGTGCCCCCCTGAGGCGGTTTTTTATTTATATAAAAATCTAAATGCTTCCATCCCTAGGCAGCCTTCTGTGCCCCCCCGAGGCTGTTTTTTATTTATATAAAAATCTAAATGCTTCCATCCCTAGGCAGCCTTCTGTGCCACCTGAGGTGGTTTTCCAAGGCATTTAGATTTTTATATAAATAAAAAACTGCCTCAGGGGGGCACGGCAAGCTGCCTGCCAGGGATGGAGGCATTTAGATTTTTATATAAATAAAAAACTGCCTCAGGGGGGGCACAGCAAGCTGCCTGCCAGGGATGGAGGCATTTAGATTTTTATATAAATAAAAAACTGCCTCCGGGGGGGCACGGAAAGCACGGTATGCCAGGGATGGAGGCATTTAGATTTTTATATAAATAAAAAACTGCCTCAGGGGGGGCACAGCAAGCTGCCTGCCAGGGATGGAAGCATTTAGATTTTTATATAAATAAAAAACTGCCTCAGGGGGGGCACGGAAAAGGTTTCCAGCGTCTCGCCCAACCTCGTTTTTCAGTGGCTCGCCCAACCTCGTTTTTCAGTGGCTCGCCCAACTTCGCATAATTTTGCAGAATCCGCACAGCCGCCTTGCACGCATTCCAAAAGAGGGACCCGGGAAGACTGCCCGAGGGCCCCCGGGTCCTCTTCCCGGGTCCCTCTTTTTTGCAACGCTGGTCCTAGGATAAAATGCCCAAAAAGGTATTTTTTTTTGATTTGAAAAAAAAAGTTATTTTTTAGATAAAAATCTAAACGTGCATATTCCTTGTCAGACTGCATGTAGAGGGATTGAAAGATGTAGTTTTTAGAAAAAATAAAACCGCCTCAAGGGGGCACAGAGCTAGGCCAAAGCCGCGAGGAAGTGTCTCTTTTTTTTTTGATTTGGAAAAAAAAGAAAAGTTTATTTTTTATATAAAAATCTAAACGTGCATATTCCTTGTCAGACTGCATGTAGAGGGATTGAAAGATGTAGTTTTTAGAAAAAATAAAACCGCCTCAAGGGGGCACAGAGCTAGGCCAAAGCCGCGAGGAAGTGTCTCTTTTTTTTTGATTTGGAAAAAAAAGAAAAGTTTATTTTTTATATAAAAATCTAAACGTGCATATTCCTTGTCAGACTGCATGTAGAGGGATTGAAAGATGTAGTTTTTAGAAAAAATAAAACCGCCTCAAGGGGGCACAGAGCTAGGCCAAAGCCGCGAGGAAGTGTCTCTTTTTTTTTGATTTGGAAAAAAAAGAAAAGTTTATTTTTTATATAAAAATCTAAACGCGCATATTCCTTGTCAGACTGCCTGTAGAGGGATGGAAGCATTTAGATTTTTATATAAATAAAAAATAAAAACAGCCTCAGGGGGGCACAGAAGGCTGCCTAGGGATGGAAGCATTTAGATTTTTATATAAATAAAAAACAGCCTCGGGGGGGCACAGAAGGCTGCCTAGGGATGGAAGCATTTAGATTTTTATATAAATAAAAAACCGCCTCAGGGGGGCACGGAAAGCATTTAGATTTTTATATAAATAAAAAACCGCCTCAGGGGGGCACGGCAGGCTGCCTAGGGATGGAAGCATTTAGATTTTTATATAAATAAAAAACCGCCTCAGGGGGCACGGCAGACTGCCTGCCAGGGATGGAAGCATTTAGATTTTTATATAAATAAAAAACCGCCTCAGGGGGCACGGCAGACTGCCTGCCAGGGATGGAAGCATTTAGATTTTTATATAAATAAAAAACTGCCTCAGGGGGCACGGCAGACTGCCTAGGGATGGAAGCATTTAGATTTTTATATAAATAAAAAAACCGCCTCAGGGGGCACGGTAGACTGCCTAGGGATGGAAGCATTTAGATTTTTATATAAATAAAAAAACCGCATCAGGGGGGGCACGGAAAGCACGGGATGCCACCGGGGCAGAACTCGGCCATTTGACAAGCATCTCCAGGACCGGGTGGAGCCTTCGACTTCGGCTGTGGTCCGAATGTCGGGGGCCTAAGTCATTGCCAGTCATTGCCAGCCAGTCATTGCCAAACTTGCTGGGGTGCGCCATCTTTTGAAGCATTTCTCAGACGAACTTAGCTACACGAAATTCGAACATGGATTCCGCGCGGTCCCTGGCGGTGGAGCTCGTGTTGAGCCCATTGCATCGGAATGGCGCGAAGTGTGGCATCAGGATCTTCCCCGGCTCTGCGTCGGATGCCTGTAAGAGGATGATGTTCTTGGTGCACCCGGACAAGTGCTCGGACCGCCGCGCGAATGACGCCTTCATCGAGATCAAGAGAATCCAGGAGCTCACATCCACCATGAGTCCGCGCCATACTCGCATGACGCCCAGATCCGGGCTGGAGGACCGTCTGTACCAAGCGCTGCGCGAGGCTGAGCGTGAGCGTGAGTCGAGGATCGCCGCAGAGGTCATCGCTTTCTGTGACGGCCTTCTACGTCGGCGCAAGCGCCTTGATGTCTCTGTGTGCCAAGAAGCCTTGGCCAAGCTCCAGCAGCTCAACCTCGATGACGCCAAACCCGAGGACGCTGAGTCGGCGCGGGAGTACCAAATCACCTTTCAGAGGAGGCTCTCAAAGGCTCTTGCACCCCAGGAGACGGCCGAGACGGAGGAGCCGGCCGAGACGGAGGTCCAGGAGGAGACGGAGGAGCCGGCCGAGACGGAGGTCCAGGAGGAGACGGAGGAGCCGGCCGAGACGGAGGAGCCGGCCGAGACGGAGGTCCAGGAGGAGACGGAGGCCCGTGAGCCGACCGAGACGGAGGTCCAGGAGGAGACGGAGGTGCAGGAGGAGACGGAGCCGGCCGAGGAGGATGAGCCTAAGGAGCCGGCCGAGGAGGCCGAGGTGGATGAGGCCCATGAGCCGCTTCAGGAGCCTGAGGAGCCGGCCGAGACGGTGGAGACGGAGGAGCCGGTTCAGGAGCCTAAGGAGCCGGCCGAGGAGGCCGAGGTGGAGGCCCATGAGCCTCCAGTGGATGAGGCCGAGGATGAGGCCGAGGTGGATGAGCCTAAGGAGCCGGTCGAGGTGGATGAGGCCGAGGAAAAGGAGCCGGCCGAGGCCCCCGTTCAGGAAAAGGAGCCGGCCGAGATGGTGAAGGAGGAGGAGGTAGAGGAGGTAGAGGAGGTGGAGCTCCCGACACCGGCCCAACTGGGGCACTACACGCAGTTCAACGAGCAGTTTTCCGAGCCTCCCGAGGACACAAAAAAGCTACAAGGCTACCGCCTTGTTTGGGAGCGGACGGACGTGGTCACCATCAACCACGCTCTGCACCTCGACGCCGTGCGGCGATGCCCCGACCACAGCCTCTTTGATGTGCTGATCAGCCTGCTCAAGCGCTCTGTGAATGTGGACCAGGACGGCATTGGCTGGATTCCCGTGCTCCTGCGCCCAGGCCGCACCGCTCCTGGGCTGAAGGGGCGGATCTTCTCCGGCATCGGTCGGGTGCCCGTAGAGGAGGCGCCTGCCAAAAAACGCAAAGGCAGTGAGGGCGCCGTGGATTCCGCTCGGGTAGAGTTCATGAAGCTGCTGCCGCCGGAGATTCGCAAGGAGATAGAGATGGGGGTCCCAGACTTGCTTGTGGGGCGCTCCGCATTTGCCTTCAGCAAGTTGGTCCGCTACATTGCGCGGAACCGCCTTGGATCCGTCGAGCTGGACATCAAGAACTCATTCTTCCAGCTCTTGAACCGACAGAAGCCGCTGCCGCCCATCATGGCGGAGTACCTGGACCACCGTGAGGAGAAGCTCGCACAGATCGGCCGCGTGCTCTTCCACAAGCTGCCCGAAACCCGCCGGCGCAGCGTGGCGAAGGAGCTGATGATCGCCCTGGGCTTTGGGGGTGGTTTCGCCAACTGGACGAGCAAGGTGCTGCAGGACATACCCTTGGCTTCGGATGAGGGGGAGCGCGGCGAAGTGGCTGCTTGGCTCTACGGCTTCGAGGCGGCGGCACGCCGCTACCACGTGGACGTTTTTGAGCTGCTGCCACAGAGGGCCAAGGACTGGCACATGGAGCAGGGCCGCTCCACTGCCTCGGGGGCCTTCGCCCTGTACGCCCACCACGAGAGGTTGCAGATGGAGAAGATGGCGGTGGCAGCGGGCAGGGCCTTCAACGACCACCAGCATGACGGCATCGGGGCCCTCCGCTCCGCGAGCGAGGCCGTGAAGCGAGCCATGGATGTCGAGGTGGCCGTGCACGAGCTGGAGGACCCGTGGAAATACGCGGCGGCGAAGTACCCCAACTTGGATTGGAGACTCAAGTCGACGGAGTTCTCCGGGTACCACCAACTGCTCCAGCGCTGCAGGAAGCACGTCATGCTTGGACGGGCGAGGGCAAACACCGTGGACTTTGCGAAGCTGGCGGCGGCGCAGCTGGCCCCGGTCGTACACGTTCCGGTGGAGGGGGGTGAGAGGAGGACCACCTATGAAAGCTTCGAGAAGGGAGGCTTCTGGCTGGTGCGAAACCGGGACGACTTGGGCCAGACCGTGGAAGACCTGATGAAGAAGATGTGTTGCCCGGTCTTCGAGACAGTCGATGAGAACTACGCGCCGCCAGAGCCCCTCAACGACAACGCCTTCTTCTCCGGTCTGTCCTCGTCCGTTCTGGGGCGTCTGGCAGGCCCGCAGATGCCGACCCTCGACGGCGACGAGACACGGTTCAAAATCCTCTTTAGCGACGGCATGCTCTACGATTTCAAGGAGCGTGTCCTCCGAACACCGATCCCCGCCGACCGCATGGGCTTCCGCACACAGGCGACCTCAGAGATGTGGCAGCCGAGCAAGCCGACCAGGCTCTTCGAGCACATCCTGGCGTTCTTGAAGGAGTATGTGGAGACGGAGGTGTCTCTGCTCGAGGCCAGCGAGAGTGGCAACCGGGTCATCGAGTGCTTCGAGGAATTGGAGAAGGACGGGTGCGAGATCCTCCGCTACATGAAGGTGTACGGGGACTGGAACTCCGTCCTGTACGAGCTGCGTCTCATGACCAGGGCCATCTCCGCGACGCCGCGGTTCTGCGAGATGTACTACCTGTGGGGAAGCCAGGATTCCGGGAAGGACACCAAGATCAAGATGTTGCACGCTTTCTTTGGTCACGGCGAGAACAACTACGGGGTGCAGCTTCCGGGAAACTATGTGGTGCAGCAGACTCGCTACCTGACCGCGAAGGACGCAGCCACGCCTTACCATGCAAGGACTCTAGGCAAGCGGCTGGCCTGGGCCAGTGAAGTCCCCGAGCACTACTCGTTGGCGGATGACTTCATCAAGCCCTTTTGTGACATGGAAGGTGCGCCAGTCTGCAGCAGGAAGCTCAACAAGGGTCCCCGGGACTTCATGCCTACGGCTTTGCTGGTGGCAACAAGCAATTCCCCTCCCCGTGTGACTCGACCGGATGGGATGCTGCGGCGGCTTCGAGTCTGCCAGACAACGGTCAAGTTCACCTTGAAGCCGTCCAAGGCCACCGAGGAGCAAGCCGTGGATGGCCTCAAGACCCGGATAAACCATGGAGAGTTCAGCAAGTACTTGTTCTTCTTCGCGGCAAATCTGGTGGACACCTTGGAGATGGAGTACAACCCAGGCACCGAGATCAAGCCGCAGCCAGAGGACATGAAGATGAGCGCCATGGACCTGGTCCCATCCGTAGACAAGGACGAGGGGCCCAACGCCGAGGCCTTCGTGGCAGAGATGTGTGAGCTGGTGCCCTTCAAGCAAGCGAGCCTCCACACGGACCTGACGATGGCGCTGAAGGCCTACCTCAACCTGGACACCTTGGGCGCGGCCAAGACCGAGATCTCGAAGTTGGGAATCAAGGGGAAATCCTACGGCCCGCGGTACATCTCCGTCTTCAAACAGAACGAGAACATGATGGGTGTGAAGCTCCGATTGGCATCGGCAAGTAGCTCTTAGGCTTTTGGGCGACGTACAGTGTCAGCCACAGGCACGTGAACAGATGGCGTGCAGGAAAACACTGTCCAACCCTTGCTGTCTTGAGCCTTGTCTTGAGCCTGATGTCCAACCCTAGATGCCTCGATGCCTGAGGCTGCGGTCTCGACGTCTTGCTCGGGGCCGAGATGTCATGCAGAGGAGATTTTTATATAAATAAAAAACCGCCTCAGGGGGCCGAAGCATTTTTTTGGAAGAGACCAAATGTTTTGAAGGCAAAGTTTCCATTCCGTAATCAGTCGAGGGTCCTGGGCCTTGGAGGCGCCAGGAAGTCGTCCAGCTGCCTCACAGCAGCCGGCCTGCCCCGCCTCGTCAGTCGGCCCGCCGCGTTGCCGCTGCCCTGCGGCGCCGGCAGCGCCAGCTTCAGCAGGGTCTCCCGGCCCTCCGTGCTGCGGACGGTCATGGAGTCCACGGCCCGCAGCTGCTGCACGTCGCCGTACTGAGGGTTGAAGCTCCTCGCCGCGTTCGTCGGCGCTCGGAAGGCGCCCGCGTCCTCCACGGCCTTCATGCGCCGGTCCGTCAAGGCCTTGTTGTGCTGGAACTTGTCGGCGTTGTCTTGGAGGACCCGGAACTCCGTGGCCGGCTGCTTCTCCACGTCCTCGGGCGCGCCGTGCACCGTCTCGTGCGGCCGGGCGTTGTAGGCCCCCGCCGCCCGCTCAAAGTGGTCGCTCCACTGCCCACCCTTGCGCGCCACCCTCGTGGCCAGGTCCTTCTTCAGCGTCTGGATGCCCCGGTCCACCACGGCAATGGCGTTGCGGTCCTCGGGTCGCTTCGTCCGGTGCACGGCTTCCGCGGGCAACTCCCGGTCCAGCGTGGCGAACTCGTTGCCCAGGTCTGTCGTGACCACAAAGTTCTTGTCGTCCCCCGTCAGCTCCTGCGCGGCGCGCTTGGTGGCCCGGCCGACCGTCTCGGCGTTCTTGTTCTGCAGGGGTTCCACGGCAGCCTCCCGGGTGAAGACGTCCATCACGACGAGGCCGTACTTCGTCTTCCCCCGGGTGTTCTGACTGAAGTCGATGAGGTCGGCCTGCAGCCGGTCGTTCGGCCCCTCGGCGGCCGACTTGCCCAGCGCGCGCGGCCGGGGCGCCTGCACCTGCCGGCCCACGTCGGCCTTCAGCGCCTCGAAGGCCATGGCCTGCGTCACGTCGAGGTCGCGCTGCCTGCGAGTCGGTACAGCTTCCGCGGGTCCCGCACGTTGAAGTCGTCGGCCAGGTCCCTCAGCGCCTCCATGTTTACTTGTTCTTCGGCCCCCGCTGGGCCTGCCAGGCTTCCAACTCGTCCAGCCGGGCCTGGAAGCCCTTGCACACCCCCCCCAGCACGCTGGTGAGGTGCGAGTAGTCGAGGGTGATCATCTCCGTGCCGTCGCTCCACCGGGCGGTGCCCGTCAGGTTCTTCCACTTCGTTCCTGCGAAGTCGTTGGAGGCGAAGCCCAGCCTCAGGTCCTCGTTCATGTCCGGGCGCTTGTACTGCTTGGCCTCCACGGAGTCAAAGAGCTGCTGGAGCTCCGCCACGTCGGCCTCCGCCATCTCCGTCTTCACCCGGCTGTCCGACAAATTCGTGAAGCTCGTGTTGCAGACCACGTTGCCCGTGTTGCCCGCGATCACGAGGCAGCCGGGGTTCCTCTGGTTCGTGGTCAGGGACAGCTGCGTGGAGAGGCTCTTGGTCTGCACCAGCGCCTCGTCGTTGATCATGATGAGCTCGCACTGGTGCGCCCCGCCGTCCCGCTCCAGGAAGACCCGCGCGCTCTGGTTGCCCAGCAGCCGCAGCTCCGGGCCGCTGTCGGGGGCCGCGCTGTTGTTGGACACTTGCAGCTTGCTCCAGCCCGCCCAGTTCTTCGTCAGAAGAGATCGTCCGAGAAGTCGGAGGTGTTGGTCACGGTGAGCGTGTTGGAGGCGAAGAGCTGCGGCGCGGAGACCGTGCCCGAGCTCGTCACGTCGCCGCACACCACGCTGCCCGTCGACACTCCGCCGCTCGTGGCCGTGAAGGTGCAGTCCAGGCTCTCGCAGCGCAGCGGCCCCGCGGAGGCCGCACCGGTGATGGTCAGCGTGGCGCCCGTGACCGCCCCGGTGGCTGCGAAGCTCGCCGCGGTCGCTGCGCCCGAGGCCGTCAGCGTCCCCGTGGACACGTCGCCCACCGTGGTGAAGTTCCCGGCGTTGGCAGTGTTGTTGATCGTCAAAGTGCTGCCGGTGATCCCGGTGGCGGAGCCCAGCAGGCCCACGCTGGCCGCGCCGGTGATGCTCAGCGAGCTGCCCGTCACGGCCCCCGTGGACGTCAGCGTGGCTCCGGCGACGGTGCCGGTGGCTGTGAGCGCTGCGCAGGAGACTGCGCCCGAGGCGTCCACGCCCGTGGTGAACACGTCAGTGCAGTTCACGTCGTTGCACAGCAGCTGGTCGCAGCCCACGTTGCCCTGCGCGGTGAGGCCGTCCAGCGTGGCCGAGCCCGTGAGGGCCAGCGAGTCCGCCAGCAGGTCCGTCACGGAGACAGACTCTCCCTCGAAGGCAGTGGCCCTGATCTGCATGCTGTACAGGTCCAGCGTGCCCGCCGACTGCTGCACCAGCCCGGGGATAGACCCTCCGAAGGCGCCGAAGTGCAGCTTCGCGACTCCGCCCGGCGGCACCGAGAAGTCCAGGCGCGCCGTGCTCCAGACTCCCTGCGAGGGCGTGCCGAGGAAGGTGCCGGTGATGCCCGTGTAGTCGTTGTCGGCCGCGCTGACGTACATCACCAGGTTGGAGGCCGTGCCCAGCCGGTACCGGCAGCCGAAGGAGTAGCGTCTCCCCGGCGTCAGAGTGTAAGTGCGGACGATGTTCCAGGCGAAGGCGCTCAGGGTCATGGCGTAGCCCTCCAGCTGGAAGCCTCCCACAGTGAAGCTGGCCGAGGCCACGGAGCTCTGGCTGTTGGAGCGCACCAGGAAATTTCCTAGCGTGGTGAGCGTGGGTTCCAGCAGCACCTCGCCCAGGGTGGCCAGCGTGACGTCGTCGGCCCCTCCGTCGAGGAACTCGTGCTTCAGCAGGAGCGCCGAGGCCGCCGTGTCCTCCTCCGCCTCCACCGCGTTGCCGGTCTCCAGGGTTGCGTCCAGGATCTGGAGGCCGTAGACGTCCACCGTTCCAGCCGTCTGGTTGGGCAGGCCCGGCGCCTGGAAGTGCGCCCCGAAGTGCAGCTTCGCCACCCCGTTCGGAGGCACTGTGAAGTACATCTTCGCCGTGCTCCATGCGCCCTGGTCCCCCACGAAGCTGCCGTACAACGGGTCGTAGACGTTGTCGGCCTCTGACATGTAGATGACGAAGTTGGAGGCCGTGCCGAGCCGGTAGCGGCAGGCGAAGAGGAGCTCTCTGCCGGGAGTCAGGTTGTAGGTGCGCACGATGTTCCAGGGGTTCACCGCCAGCGTCAGGGTGTAGCCGTCCACGCTCACTCCCGCGGTGTGCGTGGCCAGGACCACGCTGCACCCGCTGCTGGGGCGGACCGTCCAGTTTGACAGCGAGACGTCCGTGGGGGCCAGGATCTGCTCTCCTATGGCGGCCACCACCTCGTCGGCCCCGCCGTCGTCGGGGAAGCGCACGGTTATCTGCAGGGCCGAGGCTGCCTCCGTGACTCCGAGCTTGCCGGCAAGGAGGCCGTCCACCTGTGCGATGGTGTAGTAGGCGAGCAGGGCGGCGGCGATGCTCGAGGCCGTGGCCGTGTCCTGGTCGGCGGCCGAGCGGTAGGGCACCAGCGCCGAGGTGATTTGGTTTGTAGTGAACGTGTCCTGGTCCGGGCCCGTCCGGTAGGCCAGCAGTGCGCCCGCGATGGCCGCCTGCGTCTGAGTGTCCTGCGCGCTCGCCGTGCGGTAGTCTCCCAACAGGGCGTCTACTTGTGAGGAGGTGTAGTAGGCCAGCAGCGCTGTCGCGATGGCGCCGGTCGTCTCCGCGTCCTGCGCTGTCCCCGTCCGGTAGTCTCCCAACAGAGTGTCCACTTGCGAGGAGGTGTAGTAGGCCAGCAGCGCTGCTGTTATTGCAGCGTCGGTGCCCGCCGTGGAGTAGCAGTCGGCCGTGATGCTCAGCGTGTCGTCGCCGTTGGCCAGCTCAGCAGAGAGAGGAGCCACGAAATGCAGGTTGCGAACGGTGCTGCTTCCGCGAACGAGCTCCCAAGTCGTGAAGCCCGCCCAGGCCGGCGCGTTACCAACTCCGCCGCCGTCGGAAAGCTGCAGGGCGGCCAGGTCCGCGAGAATTGCGTCGAGGGCGCTCTGGAGCGTGGTCTCGCTGGCGGAGAGCGCAGCGTTCGTGGCGTACGAGGCCAGCAGCGCCGTGTCGGCCTTGGAGGCCTGGAGCGCCGAGATGCCGGCGTCCCGGCTAGCAAGCTGCGCTGCGACGAAGGCCTCGGTGGCCAGGCCAAGCAGAGCATTTGCTATCTTGGTATCTACCTCCAGCGGCGTGTCCAAGCCGTCCACCGTGGAGAGCAGGGAGGCCAGCGCGCTGGCGTCCGCCTTGCCTGAGAGGGCGGCGTCCAGGGCTGCCGTGGTGACGGCGTCCAGGAGGGCGGCCGCTATCTTAGAGTCCACCACCGAGGATGTGTCCACGGCCGACTGCAGGGCGTACGCGGTCAGGGCGCTGGCGTCCGCCTTGGAGGCCTGCAACCCCGAGATGGAGGCGTCTCTGCTTGCGAGCTCGGAGGCCAGCGCCGCGGCGGATACGACGCCCAGGAGAGCGTTGGCCACCTTGGTATCCACCTCCAGCGGTGTGATCCTCGCCGCTATGTCAAGGGAGTGCTGGTCCACCACCGTCTTGAGGCCGTAGTTGGCCGCCACCGTGGCCAGCGTGGCGTTGTTGGCCGAGGCGATGGAGCCGTTCGTGGCCGCCGTGGTGCTGTAGTTGGACAACTTCAGGTCCACCGAGTCCGGGGTGCTCTTCGTGGCCACCACGCCCTCCAGGACGTCGAAGGCCGACTGGTCTGCCTTGTTCGAGAGGCCTGTGGTCAGCGAGCTCTGCAGCGCG